TCCTCCTCTGATGTCATTATTCAATTTATTTTGATCTTGGTGTATCATTAAGATGGTACTCCTTTTCATATAGTTTATCTTGATGAAGTTCCTAAAATTTGATACTGAAGTTAGATGACATGAAGGTTAGTCAAACAGGCCATGTTTCTTTTTGAGTTCTGTGAGTATTATACAGATGGATATTTCAACTTTAGTTGGTGAAAGAAGTGGGCAAGCAGCAGACCTCTCTGGATGAGAGTTGGTGAAAGAAGTGATACTGTGATTCTCATTGTAATTTGTACGATATTCCAGTTAATAAGAGTGTCTTGTCGAAATACGCATTAAAAAGTCCATAACATTAGTGTAATGGACACACTCCGGAACATCTCTGTGGTCTAGCTTCCTCATAATGATTTTAAATCACTATCTTAATTAGACACTAATATTAACAGGCATATTACATAAACCTAAATGAGGATATAAACTTCAATAAAGGCCACTTCAACCCAACATTCTGGTCTCTGTGCACCAGATCATTCTGGAATATTTTCATTCTCCATCCTACTTCCATTGATCACTCTTATTTTTGAGCTTTTAGCAACACACAAACATTTTTTTTTTCCCAGCATAGGCTTTCAAACTTGTCAGAGAGAAAAAGAAATTACCTTGCTCGAGTTTGACTCATGATACTATTGATTACTGCCCAGGCATTCCTTCAGTCAAAACACGAGGAAACTAATGAGATGACCTACAACACAGCAAATTAACTTGGTCATGTATATTGCTGATTTTGTTCTAATGAGCTGTTTAGAGCAGAATCCAAACAGAAGAAAGCCTGTTGCTCAATGTTGACTGTGCCTCTTTTCCATTCATTAGCAACCCAGAAGCTATTGCGGAGCCTTGAAGTAACACGCAAGTGTCCTCCTAGAGCTGCCTCGTTAAAGTCATCCCTGTAAAGCACATACACATACAAATTTCTGGCAACGCAGCCCCAGTTAGATCAGTCAGGTTCTTCCTTACACAGTAATAAGGACTAAGCACAGGGTTGTTGCCTGCATTGTTCTATTAAGTTTCCTCTTTCATTTTCCATATCACAGCATGCTCAGTCAAAGCTATTTTGGTGCTTCACTGATCAAACTGATTTTTTTCCTTTGATGATAATATGAAATATGATAGGATAATAGGGTTGTTATATAATCAAAGTCGACAGCAGGGAGCTAAATTTGTGTTGTTTTGATGAAGAGTACATTAGTGTGACATAAATAGACTAATCTGATTTATTATTATTATTTCTAATGCTTAATAATAGGAAAGGGTAGGGGGAACAAGACTCTGCAGAATGAAAATGCATCGCAAAGTGATTGCAAAAGTCAGTGTGCTATTGAAACATGTTAGGCACTTTCGATATTAGGATGCCTTGTAATAAGCAACACCAATGCTACCCGCTTCTAGTTGAATTTCAAAAGAACAAGTAGAGAGCAAGAGAGGCTGTTTCGAGAGAAATAATGTCTTAAGTGGAATAAAACTAATAATGTAGCAGCCAGAATATTCTGTGGAAAGCAGACTTGTGGGAAGGAAGCCAATATTTATGTTGGGCAATAAGACGCCGGAGATGGAACAGACAAACCAGCTCACCTTTCACCGAGTGATTTTGCATGTTTTACTGAAAAGATGGGATTAACCTTAGGACAAAAGCTTCTCTGTCACAGTATTCTGCCTGTTCCAACTTCAGACAGCTCAAGTCATTCATTTATATAACATCAGGCAAGAAGCACAGAAAAAGAAAGAAAGCAAAGAAAAGAAAAAAAAAAGGTCTTTTCAGCATATTTTGCCTGATTTACTCATGGGTAGACAGGAACGCTTGTATAGAAGTTGCTCACAAAGCGAAGTCCTGAAATGGCTCATGCAAACATCTAAAAGCATGAAGCCTTGCAGAGGTCTTGTCTGGCCTCTTTAGAATCTCATGAGTACCAAAAAAAAATAGATCGGACGGAATAACAGGTTCCTCGCACTGAAAATGAAAACAATAAAGTATTTTAAAATTCTAAGCAATGCAGACCTGTTTTACTGCAGCACTTTCCAACATACACACTTTTTTATCGCTTTTGATTCAAAAGTATTGCTGAGGATATCTACTCTGGTTCCTCCATAGCAACATGCATAATTTTTTTTTTCAACCACATCCATAAACTTCGACAAAGCTAAAGCAGAGTTTTTAGGAAGCCATTGGGTCTTAATACAAAGAGTTTAGGTGACGGATACCTATATAACCTAGGTTATTGTTCCCCTGGTTAAATACCTCCTGTACTAAAATTTCCTCTTAGTTTACAATTCCTGAAGGAAAATTTTGTAACAAATCAACTGGAATATGTATCCACTTTGAACTTTTGGAGTTCAGCACAATATACAGGACATTTAAATATTTTCACATGGAGCAGAAAGAGAATTTTCCTCTTAAGGGAACAAAGGAAAAAAGGTAACCAACATTTTTTTAAAATGTATTTTTTTCCACAAAACTACTTAAAGTTTTTCTGACTGCTAAAAGTTCAGTGACAAATATTTTCTATTACAAGCCATAGAAAGGCTTATACTTCTGAGTTCTGCAAACTGTTTCTGTTTTGCTCCTGTGCCAAATATGACTAGTAGATGTACATGCCATGGACATGTATTTTCAAGGATAGTATGTCATTTTCTTTTCTCCATAGCAAGAAAAGAGACCTACAATTAGTTTCTCTTTCAGGATGCGATCAGCAAAGCCTGTGAAGGTGAATCTTGCCCACACTGTGAGCCCTGTTCACCACCTTCCTGGACACTGGCTTCTAGGTGGCAGTCACTGAGATGGTTTATAGCATCCTCAAACTGCTTTTCTAGATACACTTGCTTCAACAGTTCTGCCATCAACATCTGCCTGTATCATAAATGTGATACCAGCAGCACATAATCAATGCACCCAGCATACTCGCATATTATGCTGAAGGTTGTTATACCATATTTTAGGCTGGAAAAGTCAATTTTCCTATTAACAATCCTAGAGTTGTTTCTTCACTAATCTTAATGGAGGTTTTCATGCCACAGCAATTTAAATTCTCAAAGGAAGTTGCCTAGGGAAGTCAATGGATACTTTTTAATTAACTTGTTGAAAGAAAAATATGGAAATTAGGAGAATATAAACATATTTGATATAGCTAATAATTTAAAGTCAGAGAGAAGAGAATAAAGAAGTGAGGACATTCATTATTTCTCCCTATTAGTGGTCTTTCCAGATGCCTCCCTGGAAGGATATCAAGATCCATCAACACACAGAGCTCAGAGCTAACATTTGTATGAAAACACACCACTTAAGAACGAATATGGAGGATTATTGCTTTTATACTGAAAGCACAAAATCATAGAATCAGTGGAAGATGATTAGTGTCAAAAAAAAAAAGAAAAAAGAGAAAAGATTTTTTTTTTACAGTGAATTAACATGGAAGGCAATTTGAAAGATAGCATTAATTCAGAGACAATGGTGCAGGTTGGTAAAAATCCCAGTCCTGCCCCTGTCAAATCGAAGATAAATCTCCCAAAGCACTAAATCCCATGTAATCTTTGCAAATTCCTATTGTCTTCAATGGGAGCTGGATTAGGCCTCTAATTTGATTCTGGAAATCTGTACGATCCAGAACAACAACCGAGCTATGGACAATCTCCAAGGAACAGCTCTACCACGTGGTGTCAACAGCCTTCACTAAAGCCTGCCAATGCAATGCACGCCCAATATCACCCTCTAAACACTGGAGTAAAACTGCTTTTGCTCAATACAGCTATGTGCATTTTGCCTTTCTGCCAGGCAAAAAAGCAACACCATAGCTAATCTCACAAGTTCCCAGTGAGCCAAACACAAGATACTGTCCCTTGAATTCTTCCTGAGACCAACAAAGGCTTTCCATTATTTACAAATCAAAAGCATTTAGAGACAATCATCTTTATCTTTTTATTTAAAACAAGGAATGCCCTGTCACTGTTATATAAGAAAAAATATACATCCACCTATTTATACCCATCCTAATCAAGCATTCCAAAAAAATATAATTCCTATTCATGCAGGTAATTGCTGCACAATAAAATAATAATAGTAATAATAATAATTATTAATAATAATAAAATTATAAATAAAATAAAAAATAACAAAATAGATACTCTTTACTTCCAACAATTCTCCCAATTTATCGTAAAAATTCCACTTGCACAGCAAATTGTTGGAACAGTTGCAAATGGAAAAAGTAAATATAGTTAAATCAATAGGATTATTTGCTTTTGATTATTAATTCCACTGCTAGTTTTTCTTGTGTTTTTATTATGCATACCAGTTTTACAAAGTGCATGCTTTATTTTATTTTTTTTTTTAAATTTTGAACTGGCAAGCTAAAAATGATCCATCTTTTCCTGCCTTTTTATGTTAATACAATCTAAAATCTAGTATTAAAAATTTTTCATGACACATCTGGTATATTGACTGCTTATGGCGCATGCTTGACTTGGCAAAAAAACAATGCCTCCCCTCCCACCCCCATTCTTTTTTTTTTTTTTTTTCTTTTTAGAAGCAATCTAAAAATTAAAAGCAGGCTGGAACACAATTGCTTCAAGGGGAAAAAAAAAATACCTGATGCTTTAATTTCTGTCACATGGCACTAGTTGTGGAATTGCACGCGCACAGACACCCACACGCACACCCACCACGCACGCAAGCACGCACGCACGCAGCAACCTGCTCGTGAGGAAAATAGTTTATTAGGTCAGGAGTGCCAGTGGCACATGAAGGCTCCCAGCTGTGTGTGCAACTTTGGATTTGGTACCCACTTCACGTCACCTTGAATCCTCTGACATCCACCGAGGGGGTAATGTAAGGCATACTTTGCTGGAACAGTAATAATCCATGCTTCATGCTCAAGAGCTGAGTCTCAGAGGAGGACTGGCTTTCTCTGCTCCCTTTGGCCTCACTCTGTCTCACTCAAGGAACAAAACAAAAAACAAAACAACGGAGAAGAACTGGGGAAAACAAGGAAAGCAAAAGAAGACAAATCACTTTAAATGGACTTTCGCCTTCTCATCAGCCTGTGGTTATCTGTAAAGCTGTGCAACCCAGGTGAGATGGAGCTGACAGGAGATGGGAAAAGGCTGTTTTTTAATGTGCTTGGTGAGATCTCCTCTATCTTGTAAGAGATGGAGTGAAAGTACTGGGGGTTCAGCTTCGAGCTGAACGAATTTTGGTGGGACACCACCCGGCTGGTGTACTCATGGGACCTGTAACACATGCAGGAACAAACTGACTGAAGGTCTGTTACTTCGGCCTTGTACCGTGGCCGACCGTGCTGGGAGTCCTCTTGGATGTGGATAATCATGCTGTTGCGGTTCCCTGCCAGGGATGCCCGTTCCTCAGCATCCCGCCTCTCGTCCTCGCTGTTCATGGTTAAGAACCTGAGAACAACCAGATTTAGAAATGCCCCAATGACTGTCAACCCTACTAGAATGTACATAAAGCTAAAAGCCACATAGAGAGGCTTCTTTTGAAGGGCCCCTTTGGTCTGCAGGGCCACATAGTCTCCAAACCCTATTGTAGTCAATGTTATAAAGCAGTAATAGTAAGCATGGAAAAAGCTCCATTCCTCATACTGGGAAAAGGCTGCAGCTCCAATGCAGAGTGTTCCCATGCAGGAGAAGAAACCCACAGTGACCATGTTTTCCATGGAGACCTCGGTGCTCCTCATCCCACAGCACTTTTTGATGCGTTTCAAGAGGTACTTGACAAAGGTGTTCATGCGCTCGCCCAAGCTCTGGAACATGACGAGTGTCAGTGGGATCCCCAGGACTGCGTAGAACATGCAAAAGGCCTTCCCCGCATCAGTCCCTGGGGCAGCATGTCCATAACCTGGGAGAAGGAATGAAAAGACAGGACAGTCAGCAAGGCAGGCGATTACAACAGCTCCTTCTTCATGCAGGCCACACGAATCTCAGCATCTCAAACACTGCAGTAGATCCCAAATTGCTCTGAGAACACCACAGTCAGAGGATCTTCCCATCTCCAGGCCCACATCCTGTATCCAGGAAAAGAAAATAAGACACAAAAAAACACGAGAGAGAAAGATGAAAGAATGCATCTTTCATTTACTTTAAGTAACCATGCAGTCTCCTAAACAGAAAAGAGATGGTGTTAGCCCGTCCCAAAATCAGAGTACACTGATAACCTCCCAATTCTTCTGGCAAAAAAGAGTCAACAACTTCAATAGAGCAACCAACTGAAGAAACTCCTTTTCAAACTGTCCTTCATATAAAAACAACCCTTTTCCTAGACCACCCATGAAGGCCACTCTCTGTTGGAACACCATGGGATTTTAATGCCTGCTTCATATTGAATTATTGTAGAATGACAAACTTAACAACAACTTTTACAGTTCTACAGTCTTTACAGCCAGGCTGGCAAAAGCAGTTGTGTCAGGATGCTGAACTACTGAAGGACAAAGGATGTAGCATGCTTCACAGTATAGTTTATAAAAAAACCAAAATCATAGCTAAACCTTCATTCAGAATAACACCACATATGTGAGAAGTTCCGTTTCAAAAAATTGTGATTTCAAATCATGCTGCCCTACAAATCTACGTTATTTACTGATACGGTAAATGACAGTACCAAAGTTCCTGAAACAGGATGTCTGGGACTCACCAGGTCATGACAATGACAATGTACACACCACTAGCAAGACTCCCCTTAAGAATAGATTAGAAATCAGCACTTCCCAAGTGTAGTTGATTTCATCTAGACCCAAAGATCAATGAATCCTTTACAGGAGACACCTATTTGCCTGCAGTGCTTATAACAGAAATGTAGGGACAGAACTCAGTTTAAAATTAGCATACCTAAATTGAGGTATCCACCTGTGCACTAGATGCCAAAGATTAAATTACAGTCAACATAGATTTAATGAAAACAGACAAGAGAGTCATTTAACTGACCATCCACACCTGTCTACCTTATGACAAGGTGAAATGACTGTACTGTGCTCCACTCACCGTATTGACTAGGTCCCAATTAGACTGACTAGATCCCTGCTGAATACAAAAGAATTTTAAAACCTATTGCACAAGTAGACATCTATACACAAACACCTAAATGCAGGTATCTTAACTGTGTCTAGAGCTCTGCTGTCCTCATTTAGCCCAAATGTAGACTGTAGACACTGGAGATTCAAGGAAGTTGCTCAGACAGAGATGTCTAGCATATTTTTTAACCAATGATAATCTGATATCTGTGTATTACCTAGAGATAATACACAGGACAAATACAGCAGATCCATACTCCAACAGACCAGAAGCTGGAGGCCATACAGCATCTCAGATACTAGCAGGCAGACTAGATGAGCATGGTTGCTCTCTGAAGATGGCTTCTTTCATACTGTCCCAACGTTACCCATTAACCTCACAATCTGTTTATGGACCTGATGCTCCTGAATTTATCTAGTGTTTTTTGTTAACCTGTTGATACTGCTCCACAAACTGCTGTGGCAACAGATTCCAGGAATTCACTACTTGCTATGTAAAAATATGTTTTATCATTTTAAACATACGTCCTTGTTTCAGTTCTACACCCACCTTATTCCCCACCTTCATGAATTGGCTAATTTCAGGTCTAATCCTGTCCTCAGCCTTTTTAATCCTCCTGCAGCCTTTTTAGCCTCTTCTCAAGTAGCCAATGTTCCACACTCTTGATCATTTTAATTCCTTTCTCTAGACCCTCCTTTGCTTTGCCAAACTTATTTTGAAGTATAGAGACCAGAACCCCACCTAGCCTTCAAGATATGGGCACACTTCCAATCCTGCAGTTTTGATACAACAAAAATCTGAACACTGAATAACCTTTAAAATGAAAAAAAAAACCCACTGGTCAAGTGAAGAAAATTAGAAAACCAGTAAGAATGACCTCCAAAAGGCAGCAATCATTTTGTTAGCTCAGTTGCTAGTTGCTGGCAGATAGATGGGATGTAAAAACAGTTTACAAAAGCCACAGATGAATTCAGAAAGGAAGACTTTTTTTTTTTTTTAATGTTACAAAACAAACAGATTCACCTGTTGCATTGGGCCAGGTAGCCTGTTCATTGTAAAAAGCATTTTCCAAATTACCTGGACGGGGAAGTTACTCCAATAGATTGATGCTGGATTTGTTCCACCTGACTGTCCTTCAGTAAAGCCTATAATTGCCTCTCATTACTAAGATCATCTTTTGAACTACAGGGGTGTTAATTAAACCAGGGACATCTTCCCATTTTATAGCTTTAGTTACAGCTGATAAGGAGAAAGAAAGCTTCAGAAAATGTGATTTTCCAGATGGTTACAGAGATGGCAGTTGGTGGAAACAGCTTTTCATTTTGGGTTCTAAAGAGAATGGTTGGGGTGAAAAAAAGATTTCTTTTGATATCATTATATCCCACTTACTATAGATATCCACAAAGCTAGTTTAGGGAGATTACAAAACATTACTATTATGTGCTTACATACTAGCTCACAGATGAATTTCTGAAGTTCATCACAGACTTTGTAATTAACTCAGACTCATAGCTCTCATAAGACAGGAATATATTCACAACCCTGTTTTACAGACTGTTGTACAGTCACAGACTATAATTTCTCTCCAACTCAAACAGCTATGCAAAAGATCCAGAAATTCTGATTTCTATTTGCCTTAGGTCATGCTCACTTTCCACCACATTAAATTATAAGCCTTTTACCATATTTTGGTCATGAAGCTGGGGGACAGAGAAGGCTTATTCGAGAAGCTGGAATAAGAGTTTACAAATAAATTCATGCATAGGAGATCAGAGCAATATATTTCTACAGAGTCACGTGTCTTGAAAGAGTAGGAGGTACCTGAGGCATTGATTTCAGCACTCTAAAATGCGTGTTTGCAATAGACTTCTAGGAAAGAGCAATTTCTCAATTACTTTAGCATTACAGAATCTGTCTGATAATATGTGAAAAGCAAACTCCAATAGCTCTCTGAAACTCAGTAAATCTAAAATATGAAACAAAATCCTCCCTTTTTAACATCAGAGATTGCCCATGGGGATGAAAGAGAAGGTCAATGTTTGCCAGAGGGAGAGGGGGCACACAGAATCATCCTCCCCAGGAAACAGTCCTCTGTGGAAGACAAGGTCACTCTTCAAGTAGATGCTTTTCACTTGTGTCAGGCCTGAATAGGCAAAAGAAACTGCTTTAGCAGCAGATTTCAGCTAACAATATACAGCCTAGGGACTTCTGTTAACTTCATTCACACAAATGCTGCTGTCCTTTCACAGAATATGAAGAGAGGGCTCCACACGAACAGCAAGAAATGGCAGGATTAAAGAAAAATAGAGCATTAGGTTAAACCTGGTATTGATATTTCTTTATTTTCTGTGGTGAAGAAAGAAAGGTCAAACAGAGTGATTACAACTAGATTCAGAGAGTGCAATCCCGAACAAGCCAAGGGACAGGGATTACAGTTAGAAAGTTCGTGTCCAAAGGGGAGATGACCATAATGTGATGCATCTGTTGTGTGTGTCAGGCAGCAAAACACTCAAGCCTCTTCTTTCTTCTACAAACAGAGATTTCTGTTTATTTTGTAAGTGGCTAGTTCACCCCTGTGAAATTCTTAGTTCTTAAAAATTCTTAAGGCTAGGAGGTGCTGTTCTGCTCATGCAGCATTAGGATTTAACAACAGAACATCCCTCAGCTTCCAGAAAAAAACGGTCAAGCCTTGTAATAGGATCTGACAGAATTCATTAGAAGGCCAACTTGTTCTTCTCTATAGCTTACACTAATAGTATGAACAGATGGAGTATATACATACATAGAGTTGTATCTTGGTGCATATCTAGCTGAATACCTCTAGCGCATTCTCCAGTTTGCCGTGTCCCACAGTACAGCAGCATGACCATGGCCAGCAGGCTTGTCTGATATTTAGTGAGATAACATTTCAATGATCAAGGAGAGTCTAAATAACTTTCACCTTGACTGAAAGTGATTTCATTAGTGCCCTCTCTTTCTTTTATAATCCCTCTTAATTGCCTAAGCTTTCAAGACAGAACTTGTCTAGTTTGGCACCAAGAAGAATAGTTTGGCATGAAGAAATGTCATGTTTCAGAGTGTTATTCCAATTCTGGAGCACAAAGTACCAAGTCACCGCAACTGCTGCCTCCTCCCAGTTATGAAAAAAGTTGAACTACAGATGTCAGGCAGAACTGCAAAAATGTTTAGGGAAAGGGCCAGACCATAGGAGCTTATAATAAATGGGTACTTTGTTGCTGTCTTCTTCCTGTCTTCTCTGCCTTTGATTTTTTTCCACACTGATCTCCTGTGGAAAGCTTATTTTTCCATGACACCTTTCAAATGAGCCCCTGAGAAAAAACCCTCACCAGAGTCTACTCAGGAGGACAAGCACAGAGA